AGTATTTTATTTGTTCCTGAGTAAATCGGTTTGGCTGAGATTAAAGTTATAGTTTTTACACAGCTGAATAAACGTCAAGCAGATTAAACTCTATCGAAACAATCTGCAAATGTCATTAAAATTTAATAAACTATCATCTTGTCTTTATTTTTAGTTAGCACATACCGTAAACACTTCAAGCTGTAAGCTAATGATAGTTATATAAGAAGTTATATAAGAGCAGATGCTGCTGGTGCAATAAGCTATAAGTTTTACGTCTAATGGATGATGATCTGATTAGTCGACTAATTGCAAAAATAATCGGTGACTAGTCGACTATCAAAATAATCGTTTGTGCCAGCCCTACTAACAACAAGATGCACAGTTTGCACTGCTCTAACTTTGTAGCTTCATTTGCTGTTAGTAAGATAAACGGCTTAACAACCGGCACATAGAGAATAAAGAGAATTTACATTGCAGTTAAAATATGATGCAAATAAAAGAGTTTGTTTAAAAAAAACCCTCTAAGGTTTTGTGCTCAGAAGAAGTTGCCATGGTGAGTTGGTCAGTTACAAAGAGGGCCACTTTGGTAACACCAAGAACTCTGAGCTCACTGACCCATTAATCTCGCTTTGCTTTGGCTCAGCATCAGAGCTTTTCTGCAAAATAACCACGATTTTAAAAAAGCAGCCCTCAGACGTCTAACTTTGGGATGTCTTCGTCTTTATACCAGCGATGACTTATTAAAGAAAGTGAAAGGCGTAGGGTTAGACGTGCACAGCTTCTTTGGATTCGCAACACGCAAGCTAAAATCCACATGTAGTTTTCAGCCAGCAGAAGCAGCAGATACACGAGGCACCAGCGACATAAATGGTCACAGCTCAGAGCTGCTGCACTCCGTCGGGTGGACGTCATTAAACGCTGATGTTTGTTGGTGTCATTCCATGTTTCAGTGGCTCTCACCGCTGTGCACCAGGAAACCATTTCTGTGTCGTGATAGACGCACGCAGGCTTCGTTACAGCAGCTGGAGCGATCTGTGAAAAGGACCGGAGGCCTTTTTTAATAGAATTCATCTCTCCCAAAACAAAACACACACGATTCCACATCCATTATCTCAGAACACGAGATCATGTATTATTTTCTAATGATAGTCTGTTTTTATGTTCTGTGCAGTTTCCAATCAGTATTTAGTATTACCACAAACTGCACACCAATGTGCAGGACTATAGGGGAGCAGATAAACCCATGACTCTTTGGAGCAGTGGCTTTCTTTAGTCTTGTTGTCTCTGCGAGGTTGTCAGTGACTTGTAAATACCTTCTGATCGTCAGCTTACCTTTCATAAAACCACATCTTGGCACTTTTTTGGCACTTGACACAGTTTTCAAACCAGGATAATTGAAAAGGTTCTTGTTCTGTGTTGCGCTTACAGCACACCTGTGTCCAGCAGTGCTTCGAAAAGACGTGTTGTTAGTTTTATACATTTATATAATGCTTTCCTAGTCTTGCTGACTGCTTACTTTACATCTGTACAGCACTTTATTCTGTAGACTTAAACCACATCGTAGCCAATTTAAAGTCCACCCAGAAACCCCCGGCTGTGGTTTGGGTCAGGGTTCTTCATGCTACGAGGAGACACCACTGTAACGATGTGCTCGTCCTCTCGGGCAGGAGAAAAGCCTCAGTAGCAGTGTGACCTTTAACATTTTTCAAACTCGCTGAGCCTGTATCTATAAATAAATTTTTTAGGTTTTGTATGGTTCAGTTTTTCTGTTTTTGTGGAAATAAATGTGAAGAATGAAGGTGGAGTCACACCCTGCCCATCAGCTGATCTTATACACCAGCTCCCTCCTCATACCTGTTATGTCAGCACCCTGCTGTTACTGCTGAAAGGCATGTGCGTCACTTCATTAGCCCGTTAACACAAATTGTGCGTTCTTAGTAAAGTTTGATCCAGCCGAGGCCGTTAGTTTGAAGCGTGTGACAGGAGTCAGAGTGAAACTGCGTCTGTGGAGATGAAAAAGGTTACTGGGCCAACCAAGGTATATGCGTAGTGTGTGCGCCCGCACGTCACTTCCTGTAAATGGGGTTTGAACTCTGTTTTGTTGTTAAACTGATTTTTACTTTTTTAAAATAAACATTTATGTCCAGTTACTCTTGGTTACCTGCTATAGAGAAGTCAGAGGTTTGTGATTGGCTCAGTTTACTGATTATCTGCCTGTCAGCAAGATTACAGTAAAAGTAACTGGCTGCATGTCAGTAAACTTAGTGGAGAGGTGGAGCATTAAAAGAACCTTTTGAATTTTAGTGGTGATTCGGGTTACTTTCTTTAGGGCATTGTCTTGGTGCTCTCTCGGTGTGCTCTCCGGGTCTGCTTGGATGTCGTTAGCCTGCGTGCACGGGCTCTGCTTTTTTGTTAAAGGCACAGTAGTCCACTGTTATTTGAATTAGCTGTTGCACCCTAACACCAACGTATCCAGGTAAAAGTGAGTCTCTTTTAATGTCTCTCCTCTGAAACTTTTAGTTGGAAATAAAGTTTATTGCTCAAAATGAGTTTATGCCTGAATGTTGCAGGCTAGCATCGCGGTGACAGTGTGTATGCGTGAGCGTTTGCACGTGTGTGCGGTCCATCTGGGTAGGCTTTAGGGTCAAACCTGAAACCCCATGAGCACTACTGCCCCTACTGGCTCTGTCGAAATAGGTGATATCAGAAACACGAGTGTGAAAAGTTTCCATAAAGGCGGAATAACAGCTTTTAAGAGAGTTGTTGATGGAACTCGGCACGAGTAGTTTTCCGTAAGACGCAAACAAAAATGTCATCTGTGCTTCTTGCTTTGACCTCGAGCTGTGGAAGGGTTAAATTAAACTGATTCAGCTGAAGCTGTGACAGAAAATATTACATGTGTATTAAAGAGCAGCTGTCGAAGTGGAGCTGATCAGACAGCATCAACAATGTGAGCGTTGACAGAGATGGCGTGGTAGTATTCATGTAATCATGTCACGGTGTGAAAGAAAGGCTGAGGTTGTTTTTATGTTTGCCTTAAGTGCACGAAAAAGTCGAATGATCGCACGTTACAAAGGATGTGCAGATGTCACTGGCTGTAACCGATGTGCATGTTTGCATATCTATCACACATGGTTAGCTTCGACTTTGACCACATGAATCTGTTTTTAAGCTCTATTTTGGTCTCCACCATCTCCAGTGACGGTGTGTCTTTGTTATCATATAAACAACATCTTGCATTAAGTAAACATATTCTCCAATCAGACTTAAAAATACCTCGATGGAGATTCTAGTGCTCTCCATCACGTCCTCATCAACATCTCATAAGCTTCTCTGGAAAATTTCTCAAGATTTGTTGCACACTTGGAATCAAGGATGAGCTAAAGTTTAGCTGAAATGTCAATGAACATTTAAAGGTCAAGAATAGTCCAATAACCGTTATGGTAATTATGTCATAGTTAGCACAGTCCTGTCTGTCATAACACTAACCTGCAACTTCTCTGATTGGTGGAAACGCAGGAAACACACTGTTTTAGTTTATCATTGATTCAGAAAACATCAAAGTTGCACTCGGATCATTTGATAGGCTACCCTCTGACGAGCAACATCCAATCCTGAAGCAGGTGGACCAGTCATCCAATCTAATCAGACATTTGTCTGACCAGTCGAGCAGTTCTGTCGTGCTGCTGTGGCTCCAAACCCAGCACTACCAAGCTTTTCATATGGACTCTTTAAAGTGCCCTCAATTTCTAACTAATGTACCTACATTTGTATTTGCTAATTTACTGCAGCTTATCCCTGTTGAACTGTGATTGGCTGCTGAAAGCTGATAAGTCAACAGTTAATTATTCCGTTTTACTGCACGCTGACCCCTTACCTATCAGACGAGCGGCACCTACTTATCTCCTTGATCATTTAGCTCCAATGTGGTCATGGAAGCTGTAAACAGGATCCTTTTCAGCCATTAGTCAGCGGTTTGCTGTCACCGCTGTGTATAGTCAGGGACATTGTTCGCTGCAACGCCACAGTTACTACTACACGTGTAAGCAGCTTTGTCATTTTTACCAACTGTTCCAGAGTTAATCTATGATTAACGACATGACACCGTTAAACTGCTTTTTCAGGCACTTCTGTTAGATCATTTTAACCGTTGCGTTAAAAGCGTTTCCTCTGTTTACTCTTAATTGGATGGAAGTCATTCTTTGTGTTGCTGTGTGCTGCCAACAGTTGTGCTGCAGTCCTAGTGAAGTGAAGGTGAAAGAAATCTGGCGTCTAGTCGTCAGAGCTTCAAACAATGACATTTAAAAACATTAAAGACGTATTTCAGGACCATCCAGACCTCGGTCCTAATACAGTTAAACTGTTGCTTGTTTCTTTACTGTTCATCTTTCTTAGATTCTGTTTTTCTCTTGCACACTTGTAGCATGACTTCAGCTCTCCGTCTCTATTGATGTAACCCCATCTCTGTTTGTCTCTCTCTGTAGTCACTGATGTGGAACTGAAGCGGCTGAAAGATGCCTTCAAAAGAACCAGTGGCCTCTCCTATTACATGACCCAGCAGTGTTTCTACAGGGAAGTGCTGGGAGATGGAGTTCCCCCTAAAGTCGCAGAGGTAAGCCACAGTGATGTCACACCACGTATTCTGAGTGGGTAACGGTGGCGGCAGTTTCCAGGAAGCCAACAAAATCAGTTTGGTTATGCCTTAGCAGCGTGACCAACCAGCTTTGTGTGAAGGGTTTTAGTTGTAGTGAGGGGCCATTTCACCGCAGCCTGAAAGACTTATCGATCCAATAAAAAGGTATCATTACCATTTTATAGCTCCGTGTTTCCTGTTGAAAATCATCAGTCGGATGTTAGAGGCTAAAGAACAGCCAAAGTTCTGCAGGGGAATAAATATAGAACAGCAACGTTGTTTCCAGTTTATTTATAGCTGCTTGAAGGAGACTCTGCGTGCAGATGCAGGAGAGTCTGTTTTTCTTTGAAGTAACTGAATCATTAAAGTAATCAACACAGACCTAGACTTGATATATACAGCTGGTGTATATGCAACAGTATGACTATATACGTATAATATAGTCGAACTACAGTTTCCCTCACACAGCCCCATCTGACAGCTTCCTCCTGTCACTTTTTACGACTTCTCTCATGTTACACATTTGAAACCTGCTCTTCTTCTTCTTCTGGTGAAGTTGACTGATTTAAAAATACTCTGGAGGAATATAGACTGAAATGAAATGTAAAGACTCAAAGTGTAATAGTCATCAAGAATGAGCAGTTTATAGATATAGATATAGAGAGGACAGAATCAAAATGCTTTATTAATCCCTAACTAAAATCTGTGGGTTACAGTTGACGGTAACCAATAAGACAGTAACAGACTAAAATGTTTAAATAATACAACATGTCAGTTTACAAATGTAAGAAATAGCGCTAATATGTAGGGCTGCTCGATTATGGCAAAAATGATCATCTCGATTATTTTCACTGAGATCTCGATTATTTGATATTTATTTAACAATAACAATGTGTTGAATAATGACTTTAAAGATTGTCAAAAATAATATAAAATAGTGCAAATACTGATAACAGTGCAAATGTTTGCAATATAAGAAATAAATGAAAAATGTAAACATCTATGTTTAGTGAACTTTGCAGTGTTGCTCTGTGGTGCAGCTACGACACTGTAGCAAAGTTTACACACTGTGTCTACTTGATCCACGACTCATGAACCCATAATGTTTCCACACAACTCAAGTTTTTTTACCTCTCTTCAACCAACAGCAGTCACTCTCCTCTCCAAATAACTTCTGCTGAGCTTTCCGAGCTTCCCTCGGGTCCTCTTAATCAGCGGTCCCCAACCCCTGGGCCTCGGACCGGTACCGGTCCGTGAGTCGTTTGGTACCGGGCCGCGAGAGTTGAGGCTCAGGTGTGAAATGTATAGTTTTCAGGGTTTTTATCGGTTTTCAGCGTTATTTTGTTATCGTTTTCATCGTTTACTCGGTTTTCCTGGGTCTTTTCACGTGTGTTATGAATAAATCTTCTTTTTTTCGGTACCGGTACTAGTTTTATTTTGTTGTATTTATCCGCGACACCTTAAAGGCCGGTCCATGAAAATATTGTCGGGCATAAACCGGTCCGTGGCGCAAAAAAGGTTGGAGACCGCTGCTCTTAATTGTTGTGACACGTGTTCGAAACGCAGAGAGGTGCGCTCGATTTGCCACACGGAGCAGCGCGAGAGTAAAGCACGAGGGAGGGGCTAATAATCGGCTCAGTCATTTTTAATGATCGTTGAAAGCCCAGATCGTAATCGAGACTAAAATTCGATTAATTGAGCAGCCCTACTAATATGTACAAATCGCTCAATGATACAGATGGATGGATATTTAATTATTTAATTAGGGTTTGGTTTTTATTGGGCTACTGATCACTTTGTGTTGACAGCAACTTGCTCTTGAAATGAGCGACTAATTCCTTTCTTCATTCCTTTTCATTATTTTGGTTTATGGGCTTTTTGTATGACAATTTTTAAATTGGTAGATGTCAGGCTGTTCATTCAGAATAACCTGAAGTATAAAACAGGTAGAGGGAGGCCTGAAACATTTTAAATGTGTCTGTATTAAACAAAAATAATAGAATTTCCATCTGGAAACTCCAGAATTTAGTTTTATTTGGATTACATGAAAGTTGAATGAAGATTTCCAATGTTAGGTTTTTGACTAGCATGTGTGCAAATATGGGACTTTGGTATTTCTGGCCCAAATGACAGATCCTGCTTCATTGTTTGGGGTATTTAAGAGCGTTAGAGTCCAGTCAGACACATGGGAGCATCCTAATATTCTGACAGCAGGGTTTCTTTAGTTTCACCCTCACCGCTCTGCACATGATTGTTTATGTAATTAAGAAAAAAAGAAAAACGAGGTTTTGATTCAAGTTTGTTGTCCTTGCTCTGTTTGTATTTCAACTTTACGATGGAGTGATGATCCTGACATGAACAGCTGATAAAGGTGCTCTGACATAATTCAAACCTGCCTGTCACTTTCTCTTCTCCTGTGTTTTTTGTGCCGTGTCACGCACGTTGTGTGGGCACAACCATTTAAAGTTCACAATCATTTAAAATCAGTGTAATAGGAATGTATTTTCCTCACATTATATCATAAATCATGCTGCTCTGACTGTTCCAGAGCGTATGTCCCCTGCTGTCCATCAGTCCCAGTCTTAGTTGCAAGGTGACAGCAAATCTCAGTCCAAACGTACGTTTCCTCTGTGATGTCCCACTTCTTTCCTCTGTAGCTGCAGTTGCTTCATAAAAATGTAACCACGTGTTGTGGCTGGTTTGTGCATATCTGCTGTGCATACGCTGTACATCTGTATTTCACATTATTGAAAACATTACAATGGCAAACAAAAAAGTGCATGCTTCAGTTGAGGCTCGCTGCTCTGCCGGTTTCTTGAGCATACAATAACACCTACCTTGTCTCCACAGTGCATTAGTAAGGCCAGTGTTAGTCATCGTGCACCCCCCACTCCATCTGCTGCTTATTAAACACACTGCTTGCATGTCTTCACTACAGCACGTGTCATCTCCCTCCTTCTTCTCCTTTGTCACCATGGCAGCAGTTACTGCGGTGACAGCAGTCCAGATGTAAGGTTGCTGCTGGTGTCTTCAAATATAGCCGTGGCTACTGCACAGTCTGGTAGTTCAAAGAAAGCCCGACCCAAGGAACACGCACTGTTCTGGTGTTTTATCATAAGTGTATAATGACTCGGGCTGAGTATCGTCACTGATTTCTAGAATCGATTCGATTTGATTCAATTCAGTTTGATTTGAATCTGGGAAATTTTGCCTCAGACAGTCAGAAATATTATAATTCAGATCAGTACATTTACATATTTTTCTATCTATAAAAAGGAAGCTGACACTTTCCAGCCTTTATCAAAGGTGTGAGCGTCACAGCAGAGGCCTTTGTGTCAAAGCAGCTGAAGATAAAACAGAAAAACATGAAGGTGATTTTCCTGTTCTGGGATTTTATAAAAATATTCTGCAGTACATCAAAAACGAAAGAAAACCATTAATCAACACATGAACATCGCCTCTGAAGTTACAGCGGTTTGATTACAGACACAGCGTTTTGCATTTTGTATCATTTTAAAAAGTTTAAATTTGTTCAGTATTGAACGGCAGAAATTAGGTTTTCTTTTTGGAAGCAAGTAAAAGGAAAAAACAGCAGCCGACAGCCTGTAAACAGCTGGAGACTTGTGTGTAACAAGCAGGAGAATAATGCAGAAAACAGATTTTTAGACGAGAGAGAGAGAGTGAATTCATGATGATGTTTATGTGAAGCCTAGTTTGGATCTTCTTTTGCTGCTGGTTCGGTCAATATTGTTTGGAGAGAGATAAAACTAACAGCTTTAGAATCAGTGAAAAAACGACGTAAACACAAAGCGCGGAGCCGCCGAAACATCAGAAGCTGTCGGCTTTCAGCCCCGACCGTGTCCGTGCCGTCGGTGAGAAAGTCACATCTCACTGATTCTGATGCGTCGGCGGGTCGAGCTTTGTGTTTACATCTCTGTGCAGAATCCGTGTTCCTGCTCTCCTTTACTGTTTTAAATGTTTGGTGGTTGTTGAAATTTTGAGGTTTAACCTGAGATTCTGGCGTTTCAGGCAAAATAAATTTATATTAAAAAATCGATTCAGGATTTTAACGAATCGATATCACGTTATCCAGGCCAGAATCAATTTTAATCGATGAATCGATTATTAAAACCCTAATAATGACGGTGCTGACGATTATTCGTGGTCAAGTATCCAGAGATTTTATGTACGGGATAAATCACACGTTGGCTTGATGTTGTGTGTTTGTTTTCACTCAGTGTTATCTCAGTAGGATGAACAGTTATTAACTGGTGTTTTGTTCCTCAGGCACACATATGCTGATAAATCCTGATAGTTAATGTACAAGGAGTTATTGTTGCTCACAGCGTGCTGTAGCAGGAAGGTCTCATAGTGAACTACCAAATGCTTCAGGATGAACACAAATACCATTACACCTTCCACATGTAATATAACAACAAGGTTTGAGCCGATCACTGTTTGGGAGTGGGAGTGGGAGGAGAGGCAGACGAGTTAAGCGTGCTTTAGTTGGCTGCGTCGAGGACTTCCCCACAGTCTCTGGGGACTCCACAGTCAGTTTCATGTGTGAAACTATGTGTGTAGTGATATTTAAAGAGTAACAAAATAATTTTTTGTAAGACATTTTTTCTACAATATTTACAGCTTTAAAAAGAATAAAAACTAATCTGCTCTTGTAGAGGTTTACTCTGCAACCTGACGACTCAACTTGGCTCTGAGCTTCGTGGACACGAATTCTCCGTTTCATAGTTTGAGTTAAAAAACACTCCGACCTGTGTTTTCATCAGCTCTACTCTTTGTCCAACTTTAACACATTTTGTCCAGTTTGTCGTTGTTCGTGGACTCGTCACACCGTCAGAATTATGACCTCACCAATGTTCCTGAGAACCACTAAAGACTCTCACAGGTGAAATGTGCTTTCTGTGACGGTTGACCTTTCGCATGTAGATCGGCGGACTTCCCCTTTAATTTTGTTTTCCCACAAATGTGCGTTTACTGAAATTGATCACATTTCTCTTCGTGTGTATTCAATAAATACTATTTGCAGGTTTTTTGGCAGTGAATACAAACCTGACTTACAGTTTATACATGGATCAGTGAATGCATCAGTATTTTTAGTTTCTGTCACTTTCTAATATAAATAAATGCAGGTTTAAATGAAGAAGATGGTTAAGCAGCAGTGTGCGATGAAGGGGCGGCAGATGACGGTGAAAGTGTTGGATTTAGGAATTTGCATCGTCTGACACAGTGTGACTTCTGTACTCTGTGTGACCTGCTGGCATGGACATGCTTCATCAGCTCCTGACTGCAGAGTCATGTTATGCAAACCATCAGCGTGTCCTTTAGCTTAGTGACAGCAGCGCCTCCGTAACATGAGCTGATACAGTTTTAAAGATGAGGAGCACATTTCTCTATTTTTGTTTTGGGTGATTTTCTCTCACAGTTCCACAGAAACTAGTCCAGGGCTACTCCTGAGAAACTGAACTGAAAATGAATTGTAAGTCCAGCACAGGAAGTACTTTCCTCCTGTCAGCTTTCCTTTTACTGACATCGTACTGTAGGTCTTGTAGTATTCCAGAATCATGTCACCAACATTACTGCATCCAAGCTGTTATGTTAAATGTTACATTTGTTATATTTTTGACTGACAAGCTTCAAATGATTTTGTTTTTTTCAGTTGTCGGTGAAACCTGATGATGTTGGTCAAAACTCTTCTTTGGCAGCTTTTGTCACTGCGGTGTTTGGATGGGCTGACGTCTCGATCGTGTTACAGACGGTGGAGCAGCTCATGTTTAACGTTACCATTATGTGTGTGTTTTAGGTGATCTACACCTCGTTCGGAGGCTCTGCCAAAGGGCTGCACTTTAACAATCTGATCGTGGGTTTGGTGCTGCTGACCAGAGGACGTGATGAGGAGAAGGCAAAGTGTAAGTTACTCTACGTGAGGAGGTGGGAAGTATCTGTTTAGGCCATGAGATGTTGATTTCATCTCCCTCTCTCTTGTCTCGCTTTAAAAAAACAAAACGGAATAAAAGTAGTTTTAAAAATAGTTTTTTATGAGATATAATGTAAGCTTTAAGCTAATGCAGTTTAGTTGTAGTCAAGGAGTGATCGGGGGTTGCCATGGCTACTGCCACAGTTGGGTAAACATACTTACTGTCATTAAAGTAATTTATTACATCATTACCTATTATGAAAAGTAAAGTATTTCTAAATTGCTAAAACGAACCCCCTTTGCATGTAGACGGGGTGTCATGGTTAAACATCCGGAGGCTGTATTTCCTGTCATATATATTTACCTTTAAGTGTTTTCACTCTACCTCTTTTCATAGCGAGTTGCAATCGGTGATATCTCCTCCACCAAATAATCAGCATCAGGCTGGTTCGAGCTAGCTTCAGCTGAACTAAATGCTAGCTGTTGCTGTTTCTGAGGCTGAGCTCTGGCACAGGTATTAACAGGCCTCGTGTTTTGAAGGTACTGTTTAAAAATGTGAAGAACTAATTAGCAGCTGACCCTTGTTAACACTTCTCAGTATCTCAGCTGTGTAAAGGCCTGACAGACTCCCGACTCCTGGATTTGTTCCCTCTGGGCTTTGACTCGGACATTTATCCTAAGCCTTGTCCGGTGCTTGGATGTTTGCTTTCATACTGAAAGATGAACAATTATGTAGATTTTTGTTGAGGTCATCAAACTGTTCTTTGTTGTATTTTAGACGCTAATAAAACAAATAATGAGACGACTCGTTCCACAGCTATTTTTCCCCCACATCTCTAAACTTTAAGAAACGAGTCTCCTGGGTCAATAATTCTGCAATCACTCATTTAACCTGTGGTTTAGTCCTTTATAATATCTGTCTCCATTCTTTGTTCCATGTTAAGTGGTTACTTGGAACAAAATCCAATCGAATGTTGGCATCCGTCGAGTTATGTATAGGCAACATATGTTGAACGTGACAAAAGCAAACGAATGATGAAATTAACATAAACAAAACAGATTTGGGGCTTTATAATAAAAGTTTACATGCATATATACATACGCTGTAATCAAAGAGAAAATATGCAGTATTCATAGTTGTCACATCACTACTGGGACACGTCCACCTGGAAGACAAAACAGTACTGCGGTCCTCCAGCTGTCCTCTAAATGTCTTCAGAGTTAACTTGGCACAGCACCAATCTGGCATTTTGGCTCTCAGATCCAGAAATCAGCATTTATTTACAGCTTCCAGAAGGGCGTGGCACATGGCACCAACCTGTGAACACACCTACGCCTACCCCACCTTACAGGCCAAATCTTTCTCCACGGCAACCAGGCTGTCAGTAGGGCTGCCACGATTAGTCGACTAGTCACGATTACGTCAACTATCAAAATCATCGATGACAAATTTAATAGTGGACGCGTCGTTTGAAGCTTTGTAAGATCCCAAAAGACGCAGGAATAAGTAGTAGGATTTAAGAGTGTAATAACGGACTGAAACAGAAGATGGCAGCACTGCATGTACAAGGATGCCAGCTGCCGTTAAACCCCGAAGAAGAAGAAGCTGTGTCCCAGAATTCATAGCGCGGCCCAGCTCAGTTTCCAACAATGGCGGCAGCTAGTTAGTTTTAATATTACTCTTATTATTCTTTCTGGGTCACAAAATAAACGTTTAACATATTTTCAGGCGAGAATGTAGCTGTGTAAACCTCAAATATCTGCTCAGTTTATCAAGACACCACATATTTTCAAAAGCGCTCCGACGCTTTCGGAGACATCTGTTAGCCACTAGCTCGATAGCTAGCCGGGGGCTAGGCTCACTAGAGCCGTGAGAACACCGGACTCCCGGCAACTCGTCTTCAAGGAGTTTATTAAACTTCACCGAAACAATCTGAAGATTTCATTAAAATTTAATAAACTATCATCTTGTCTTTATTTTTAGTTAGCACATACCTTAAACACTTAAAGCTGTAAGCTAATGATAGTTATATAAGAGCAGATGCTGCTGGTGCAATAAGCTGTACGTTTTACGTCCAATGGATGATGATCTGATTAGTCGACTAATCGCAAAAATAATCGGTGACTAGTCGACTATCAAAATAATCGTTTGTGGCAGTCCTAGCTGTCAGTGGCTGCTCATTGAAACTGCAGGAATGGTTTAACCGACACTGGACAAATACTCTGACACGTGACAAATGAATGCTCCTCATACTTCCTGGCCCAACGCTGTAAATGTCCAAGTCAACCAAATATTAGATTTACACGTGGTACTTTAAGCTAGCTGTAGCAGTTATCTTTGCTTCAACGGTGAAGTCTCTTGTTCTTCGCCTCCCACACGCTGCTGTTATTTACCCATCCAGCTTTCATCCTGGCAGTGGGTCACAAGTCCCCAAAAATCACGGTTTCTCTTCATATCTTTGTCTCCCCTCCATGAAGAGATGAACGTAGTCTTGGCTCAAGATAAAACAAAACTTTAGTCTTGCAGTACTACTGACCGTCCACTGCTGACCGTCGTGATGGAGCGACGTTTTGCCCGACAAGGTGGCAAGTCGCTCACGTGACTGAAAACTATGAAAAAGTGAGTCAGCGAAGTCGGAACTGCAGCAAAACACTTGAATTTAATCTGGGAACAAAACATTGAAATGTTATTGCTAAATTCATCCTGAACTTGTCAGTGGACTGATGACAGCTGGTGAGTGGTTCTGTTTTACTGCAAAACATAATTTTTAGAAGGTATTTCTACATATACAGCTTCAGAAAAGCTCGCTCACCTCACACTGTCCAAGCACACATGGGCCGGAAACTCTCCGAACTGTGTGAGACATCGCGTTGATTTCTTTGTAGGATAGGCTACAAGCTGAAGGAGCGACTGCTTTGAGACCACAGTGATTGAAACGTTTCATTTCTTTTTGTTTTTCATGCTTTTGGTTCGTCTCTTGTTCCTCAGGCTCATTCTGGCAGCTGTATCTCACATGTTGCAGGCATTCAAATCCATCAGGACATTATTGACATTGCGACTTTTATCAGCTCGTTGCTGCTGTGTGCTGGACGCCTGCGTTCCTGTGATAAAGCTGAGCTTTCTTCTCCGTGTGTTTGTGTGCACAGACCTCTTCAGCCTGTTTGCCAGTGATCTGGGGGGATATGCTGCCAGGGAAGATATAGAAGCAGTTCTGCAGGTCCTGGATGGAGAAGTCCCGGCCTCCCTGAAGGAGTCCTTCGGCGAGGTGAGCAAACGCTGCAAAAGACTGCACAGCATTAATCTGTTAACTCATGCAGTTATGCAAGTGAGCTGCAGACTAATGACTCCTCAGCTTCTATCGTAGAGCGCTTGATCGTTGCAGAGGTTTCAGTCACATGCTTATAAAAGAGCCATTGTTACTAGGAGCGCACAGGGAGCCTCCTCGCTGTGATAATACAAAGTTTGGCTTATCAGCGAGTCATTGTGCTGGTTATTAAAATACCACCTGAAAGCATGCAAACCTCCCCACTCCCACCTCCTTTATAGCATGCAAACATCTCTAGAAACACAACACAATAAACGATGGTGTTTATGTCCATTATTATCCTTCTGCAATTACATGTTCACTTCTGAAATCACCACTAACCAAATCCATGTCCAAGACTGATTGTTTCATTTGTTTAGATGCTTATTTATGGGTTAAACAGAGTCGGGATATGTTTGTGTGCAGGAGAAACAAAAAAGTCGTTTGGTACTGGGCCACAAGAGTTGAGGCTCCGGGGGGAATCATGGTTTTCAGGGTATTTATCGGCTTTCAGCGTTTCTCTTTTAGCGTTTTTATCCTTAACTTGGTTTCTCTGCGTCTTTTCCTGTGTGTTATGAATAAATCTTCCTTTTTGTTTGGTGCCGGTGTCGTGCCAAACGAGGTATCCCCGACAGAATTTGTTTCCCCTGCGTCGGGAGCACACGCTGAACTCTCCAAACCACGGACAAACAGGATCCCACATTGTTGATTTTTAGTTCACAAACACTTCTTATAATGACTAACTACTCCTGACATTTTTGACATGTTAGCTCTTTATACAACAAAGTTACAGTGGGATACAAATAATATCAGGCTGATCCTGCCACAATTTGTTCCCCCTGTGTAAATCACGGACAAACAGTATCCCACATTGCTGATTTTTCGTTCACAAACACTTCTTATTATGACGCATTACTCCTGAAACTTTGGAGGATTTAGCTCTTTATATAGTAAAGTTACAGGAGAATAAAAATAGTTATCAGCCGAAATGTTAATGGTTTATTAAAATAATTCCATCTGATACCCCGTGAGCAATAAATATATAATTTTCTGTAGTAACCCTCAAACTGTAATGTAACGATACTAATTTTTCACAAAATGAAAACATCAGTACTTCCTGCTCCCAGCACAGGGGAAACCTACTTTGGCACGACACCAGCACTGGTTTTATTTTGTTGTATTTATCCGCGACACCTTTAAGGCCGGTCCGTGAAAATATTGTCGGACGTAAACCGGTCTGTGGCGACCGCTTGGGGACCGCTGCTGTAAAGAGTTTTAAAACATCAAAAGGAGCCAAACCTAAGGTTCAACTGAAAATAGTGCACGTGTATTTAAGAGCCTTCTTGGAGCACAATAAATATCACTCAATGATTTCACAGTGAGCTATCATTAGCAGTGCTAGCACCAGCATGTAGGCTAACGTCCACACATGTATGTAATGTGGTTGCACAGTTTATGTGCAGCTGTTAACATTATTTATCACTGAAGTCTCAAAATAATTTAAGTAAAGTCCTTCTAGAGGGATGTTGCAGCTCGGCTCATCTCGCTGACTGAAGCACACATACAGAGTTCAGGCCTTAGCAAAGCCATTGTGACATAAAACATGTTTAAGCATCACTTTTGTTTTAAAGTGACGGCTGCATCACCTGCTGTCTCAGCCACTGGTAGTCCAGGTGTGGACGAGGCCGTTCCTACAGCAGCTCTAAGTTTGTGCACGAGGGAACAGTTGCATTCATCGGGGTCGTTACGATTCATCAGGTTTCTGATATTAGAGCCTCGTCCGTCGTTCTCTGTTTGATGTTTGCAGCATGAAACTGACATCTGTCAACTGATTAGAGCTTCCACCTCGATGTGAAGCGAAGTGTATTTCCCTTATCTATGTTTGCGCCCTCGTCCTTGGCTACTTTCTGCAGTCCTGCCCCG